ACATGGTTCGCGATCTCGATCATTTCCTTCGAGTGCGTGATAATGATAACAGTAAGCCCTTGGCGCACGGCCACTAACTGCTGCACTGTTTGCCGGACGATCTCCGCACCCGCTGGATCCAAGCTGGACGTGGCTTCATCGAGAATCAAGATTTGAGGTTGACGCAAGAGAGCCCGTGCAATGACCACACGCTGTTTCTGACCACCCGAAAGGCCAACCCCGCCATCTCCGATCACAGTATTATATCCACGAGGCAGAGAGGAGATGAAATCATCAATTCCTGCTCCTTCAGCGGCAGCTCGGACACTATGAGATGAGGCTAGAGGTGAGTGCTGATCTAGCCCGTAACTGATATTTTCATGAATAGTGCCGGGGAAAATAGTTGGTTGTTGCGATACGATAGAGATCTGTGAGCGGAGGGTAGGAACATGCAGCCGAAGGATGTCCGCGCCGCCGAGTGTCACTGTAGGTTGTCCCGTTTCGGAGGCCGGAGCTTCGTAGAGCGATAATAGCAGCGACGCGATTGTGGATTTTCCCGATCCGGATCGTCCTACAAGCGCTGTACATGAGTTTCGTGGGATGGTAATCGAGACATTCTTTAACACCATTGTGTTTGGCCGAGAAGGATAGCGGAAATTCAGGTTGGTGAGCTTGATTGGGGTGAGCTTTGAAACCGTCAAACTACCGAGGTGCTCGTGGGATCCATCTTCTGGGAGTTTTGCAAGGCGAATAAGCTGCGTCGCTGTCTCGCGGGATGTGTTGATTTGGGGAACTACCAACGCGTGAGTAGAGTGTTTCGAAGTGTTTCAGGGCCTACTTACTCCATGAGAGAATCTGAGCAGCGTATCCAATGCTGAAAAGTAGCATCGAGAATACCATCATCACATCGTTCACATTGAACTCTCGGGATGCTGCGAGAACCGCTCCATAATAGAATATCAAAGCTATTCAAGAGAGTTAGAACAATGGCAAACAATAAAGAATCAGCGAGCTTACCTGTAGAAAAAATGACTGTTGATTCCACCATACCGAAAAGCATGCCTGTATAGATAGCACGTTTCAGCCCTAGCAACAAGCACCGTGCGGTCGCATTAGCTTGTTTGCGATGGAAGTGACCTTCCAAGGTCAATGTCCTCACGGTACGGATCTCTGAAAAGGTCTCCGTAAAGACATCGGCGGCGATATTGTTCGCATCATTGCATCGTCTTTCCCATAGTCCATTTGTTCCCTCGAAGCCTCGAGTGATGATATAAATGACAGGCCCACAGGAAAGAGCAACAAGTGTCAACTTCCAGCAAACAATCAAGCTCCAGATAACTGCCATGACGGTGATTGCTGCAGCAACGATCACAAAACCGGCGAATCGGCCTAGCAGGTTTCGCATGTCTTCGCCATTTTGATCGAGAGACGATGTCAATCTGAGAGATCCGTTACCATCTTTCTCAAACCAGGCGCGTGGTTGATCGAGAATGCGTTGAAAGGCATTTTTCCTAAATGAATCCATCCAAGCCTCGCCGCAAAGTTCTAGGAAGTAATGCATGAAAAAGGACGCAAGGCCATCGCCGAAAGACACTCCTAAGACAGCAAGCGACCATGTCATTGTTAGGTGTTCGCTGTTGTTTCCAGCATAGAAGGTTCCAAACAGCTGCGACAGGCAATATGAGAACAACGGAGTTGCGCTTGCATGGGCCAGTGCTGCGGCGAATCCCAGGGAGAGGATGATTCGCTGTCTGATCGTCAAAGTCGAAAGAATGGTGCCTATAATTTGAGAGAGGGGAGTCATTCGTTCTTTCGGTATCTTCTGCTCTTTTGACTTCTTGCGGTGGCCATGTGATCTCCGGCTGCGCTTCGCTTCTGATGGATTTTTCGCGGTGTATTCATTGAGCCATGGAGACTTCAGGCTCTGATCATCAATGTGAACCATTTCGACTTCGTCCGTGGGAATTTGAATGGCTATTTCTTTCGAGTCCCATTGTGGACCAGGTCCTTCTGTCATGAAGGAAAGACGTTGGCTCCAATCTTGCAAGGGCGATCCGGGTAACTGCTCATTCCTGACTACATATTCCGATTTTCTCCTTGACGTTAAGTCCAGTGAGCCTGAGCGAAAGGTTGGGGGTATGTGGCCTTGAACCCAGGATGTCCTAGCTCGATGATGTCCGAGGAACGCTGTTGGAGGTCTTAATGTATCCAAACTTTCCGACGATGAGCTCTCCCATGGTAAGTCCATATCATCCAGAGCACTTTCGTTCTTGGTTTCAAGACGGCCGTCGACTTTCGTATGGAAGTACTTCTCACTCCCCGGACTGACCTCGACGGCGTATCTGTAACCGGATTTCACAATCGAACCCTGTTCGAGGATGTACAGGAAATCTTGTTCCATAATTTGTGACATATCGTGAGTGATGATGATGGTTGTCTTTCCTTTCCGCCACTCACGGATTGCTTTCATTACTGCGACTCGGTTGGCGTGATCGAGAGCGCTGGTGGGCTCGTCCAGGATCAGGATTGGGGTGTCACGTAATTTAGCTCTGGCAATTGCAACTCGCTGCCTTTGGCCACCACTCAAAAAGCTTCCACCGGGGCCAACGCAAGTGTTGATTCCCTTGGGGAGACCATCGATTGTGTTCTCAAGCATGGCCAACTCAATGGGATCTTTCACATCTTGCTTAGTGACAGTTTCATGGTCCTGGCGACCGAAGGCGATGTTCGTGAGCACAGACTCATTGAAGAGAACACTCTTTTGCTCCAAAAGAGTGATGTTGTTGCGAATCCAGTTGATGTCGAGTCTTTGAATTGGATTGCGGTCAATCAGGATTTCACCTGAGGTTGGCAAGTAGAACCGCATCAGCAGTTGGCTGAGTGTGCTTTTACCAGAGCCGCTTTTCCCTATAACAAATGTCGTTTCTCCAGCGGGGAAGAAAAAGCTTGACGGCTTGAGAACGCATTGATCGGGTTGGCTAGGATATGAAAATGATACCTTCATAAAATTCGTTAGTGTCCACATAAAACCTAGAGAAGAGTTCATACTCACATTTTTGATCTCAATATCACCTTCACAGTGTTCCGGATACCGAGTTCCCTTTACCTCGCTGACAATCTTGTCTTCTCTCCGGCACTGTATTATCGATTTCAAGGCGACACCAGCGACCTTTCCCTTTTCCATCACGATCATCTGTGGCAACACCTGCTCGACGGATTGAGCTGCGGTCAGACAGGCCCAGAAAGTTCTGAGAACTTCTCCGGATGTGAGTTTCCCGGCGCGTGCAAGCGAACTGCCATACCAAAATCCCTGAACAAACATCCCAAACATCATCCATCGGATGATAGCAATTTGCAGAGAATTCAGCCGAGCCTGTCGAAGGTAATGTGTGGCAGATCTCTCAATGCGCTCAGCAAAGTTCCGATGCTCGAACGCCTGCCCATTGAGGCATTTGACTGTATCGATATTGGTGATAGCGTTGTTGGCAACCTTGGAAGCCTCCGTAAGCTCAGCCTGCTGTGCCGTAATGCTGAACCTCATTTTGGAAGACAGATATCCGATAATTGCCGAGAATATGGGAATGCCCGCAAGAGTTACCAGAGAGAGGCTCCATGATGTGTAGAAGCCCAGCCCCAGTGAAGCCAGCGAACGGCATGAATATTGCAGGACAAGTCCGAGTGGCTGCGATGTCGCCATCTGCATTTCATGGATGTGTCTAAAATTAATATTAGATATAATATTTTCAACGAGTATTGTCGCAAACTCACGCTTGAATCCCCGATAACAAAGCCCCGGAGCCCTCGCTTTTGGCCTCAAACCACTCAACGTCGCGCTTTAGCAACTCTTGAAATACTTGGCTGCGAATAATGGAGGCCTGCATTTCCCCGAATGCAACGAACAGGGCATAGTATGCACCGTTCAAGAACCAACCAGCTATCCCCAGCGCAATCATTCCAAAACAATTTGTGATCACTTTGCCATGGAGCTCTTCAGCATCAGTCTGACCGGCGCCGAAAGATGTGAACGAGTCAAACACATTGCCAAGGAAGATTGCAAGTGCTGGCGTAACACAACTGGCAACCACGGCGAAGATAGATCCGAATATCAGAGTCGGCAGGTGTCTTCGAGTCGTGAATCCGAATAGTGATTTCCAGCCCGGATTGCGCTCGGGGATATTTTCTTTGTTAGTGTCGTTATGATCTGAAGTCTTGCGTTCGGGCAACATTTTGGCGACAGGCTCGAACGGCACGTTGAAGGCCTAGTATGACTTGTGGAGATATTCCTTGTCGCGCTGTAGTGGCATAGCAGTGAGGTAAGATGGAAGAGGATACAGATCGACATGAAATGGCCATGATGGGCTATTTGAGTGTGAACCCAGATACATAATCCAAAAGAAAGAACAATACTAAGAAATTCCCAAATGCGGTAATATTGAAGAGGGGTGCAGAACAAAGACACCCATGCTCTGGCATTGTTACGAGGCACCTGGGATGAATGTACCATTCATCGACTTCAACCTTGGGACAGCAATCATACATTGCCTTCACTGTTGGTAGTAAATCTCTAACAGTCGAAGAAACTTAGGGCTAGACGACTTACTCAATGTTTGATGCACAATGACCACCATCACCCGCAATGATTGCTCTATTTCGAATCAAATAGTGGTTGAGAAGATAGACAGAGGACCAATGGAAATGTCAATTTATTTAGGGTATATTTCGGACCCAATGTTGAAAGACTGTTGAAGTCCTAGCGGACATTCAATTTACATTTGAGTCGCGATTAATGGTCCGATGCTAAATCAGAACCACATATTTATGGGTATGACCACGCTTCTATCGTAACAATATTAACCTCAAGACATGATACTGCAACATCATGTAATCAGCATTACAAGTCTCGAGGCCATTCATCATCTGCGCCACAAGGAAACAGGCAAAGGCCGTCGGCCAGATCAGCCCGGACGGATGAGGAACTGTCCTCGATTTGTAGGACAGCAGCAATGAGACACGATTTGTAATCAGGAGCTAGCCTTCTGGGCCTTCTCGTAAACCCAATCGTTCAGGCCGGCGCGGTTTCTAGAAGACTCCATTAGTTTCTATGCATGACTCACCAAGCTCCAATCAGCACTTACCGAGCGATTTCAATAGCGTAGAACTGCATGCGCACACCGAAAATGGTGGTATTTTGGTCGTACTCGACATCCGCACGGGTACGGATCATGGTGCCAAAGTTGTAGTCCTCGATCTGGTCCCACTTCATCATCCAGGTGCGCCACTTCTCCTTGCCCTCTTTGCTCTTCATCTCGTCCTCGACAAGAGTTGCGGCGGGATCAAAATCGGGGAATGCCTCTTTGAATGAGTCGTAAATATCATCATCCTGCTTGGTCAAGTGAAGCGTCGAGCCCTTGACCTTCTCCAGAATAGACCAGTATGTCATGAGATGTTCAACCGCTGTAATGTGAAAGAATATTAATATTATAGCTTTTCTAAAAGTTGTAAATGAGATATAAATCAATGCGTGGCTGACCTTTGACGGCGAACTGCTTCTCCATCTGTTGCGATTGTCAGCGATCAGGGTTCATCGGTCTTTAGTATGGACGTGGGGTCGTACATCCTCCAAATTCTCCGCCTCCTCGGGGTCGAATGGTTTCGCCATAGTGATAGTTGTAATAGTAATGCTTTGAGATACAAAGAAAGTAGTAAAGGCAGTGATATGAGAAATGGAAAGGAAGTCAAGTTGGAGTGTTCGGTGCCCCGCGCATAGTTTTTTGACGGGCGGAGAGCAGCCTCCGCCTTTACACCCATGGCCTGATCGTTGACGTCATTCCGCCCGCAGCCCACGGGTATAAACGTCATGTTCGGCTCAACTAGGTATACCTAGTATATCTTGCTGTTGCATGATGTTGGGGGTTTTACATGTAAAACTTCGCCGTTTTTTGTGCATTCGATTTCTGCAAAAAGTGTAGAACTTTCCTATGTATAACCAAGGACAAGGACAAGATTATCCCCACATAGACCCTGAATTAACACCAGCATCGCTACGGAGTTACTATAGGGTATAGTCATAGACCGTGCATGCAGTGAATCACAGCTCAAAAGCATTGCTTCCAAACGAGTCTTCAAAAGGTAATGCTCAGTCACTATCAGCATCATCCGGTAGTTCTTCGAATCTTCCCTCGTGGAGAGCCTGAGTCACCGGGTTCTCGACATTAAGGAGACCATTTGCTTTGGCCCTGTGGTAAATAATTGTTAGCAATGGCTCTATGTAGCTCGTTTACGATGCACCTACCTCTCAAACAACACAAAGAGTCTCTCCGCCTCGCGCTCCTTCTCCTCCATGGTCATAGGTGGACCGGTGTCCTGTCGCTCAGCGGCCCACCGTTGTCCAGTGATTGGATTGCGTGCGGTTTCAGGGTCTTCTGTAGCTGAATATGCTTCACGTGCACTTTGTGGCATCTCAATGCCGCGCGCTGCCAGGAACCCAGCAGCGAAGCCGTAGCCAATATTCTCGGTGAGTTTCTCGGAATCCTTATCTGATAGAACAAACATCAGTTCCGAAATTGTAACTTTCAGATTGGTAAAGTGGCTTGTCGAGAGTTTCAGCAGTCTCGAAGAAAGTGTTTCAGACTGCCCAATTGGCAAGCTTCGGTCAGTGTCCTCGGGCAGAAGAAGCGACTGCATATGCTTGCGGGGTTCATCGGGTGCCACTTCGTGGATAGCGATGAGTGAATATAGCAAGGGGACTGCGTTTTCCTCTAGCTCCTTCGGGCTATATATGGATGTGGCCTGATCCAAGATGCTGATCAGCTTGTCCATGTTGCAGTTGTTGTCAAATGCCGGGAAAAGGGGGCTGCTCTCGAAGGCTTTGCCTTTTTTTTCCTCCAAGTCAAGGATAGACAATGTGTTGAGCAAGCCGCCAACTAAACCATCAAGGGGCTTTGCTGGGATATCAATACGACATATAATCTTCAAAATATGAGGGATGGAAGGGGAGAACTCGGCAGCAAGATCCGGAAATATCTTGGAGATGTTGTAAATCAATTTCAGTGTGTCCGTTAATGCCAGTTCGTCCATTTGTGACAATGTTTTTCTTCCTGACTTGGGGAACTGCTTTGCATGACGGCTCAATTGCTATACTAGTCAGTACAGCAAATCAACTTTCGAGTCTGTCAATCCACTCACGTAGTTGATATTTTCCCCCAAGGCGTGACTTTTGATCAAGTCTTTAAAGTCTAGTGTGGTGTTGTAGGTCGCGTAGAACAATATGCGGCTTGTAACCATCTCGTCTTCCGAGTCTTCGGTCTATCAAACATTAGTGTCAGCTTTCGTACCAACATTTTACCTGCTGCAGCCATACCTTGAGCTTTTCTGCTAGTTTTCCGCCGTATCCCGTGTCGACAAAAGCCTGGCGCATTTTGGGGTCCAGTAATAGCGCATTTGCAACACATCGCAATGCCGCTCCGCGTACTTCAGGAGTCTCCCCCTCAACGCCATACCGCACCAATGTATTAATGCCCTGAAAATGATCAGAATCCATTGTAATTCTCATTTTCGACGGGCAACTTCATCTGTTGTGCTCATACATTCTGTGAATAGATCGGTTCTGCGTTGGTAGGGTTCGTGCCATGTTGCCGGAGCTGAAGGAGGGTTTGAACTCGGTCTAGTAGTAGATGGTATCGGTATTAGGCACGTAAAATGGCTATCGCATCGGACTGACCTGCTGTTGAGAGGTTGTTCTCTTGTAGGTCTTTCTCAAGAGACTGTAGAAGCTGTGTCACTTGTTGTAGCTTCGCTGTATGTGCAAGCTCGAGTCAGTCAATCTACTGGAGATTAGAAAGTTCCGCGACGGACCTGTTCCTTGCATCTGAAGGGACGACATGTTGATCTTAGCTCGGACTGAGTCGAGTGTTCCGAGTACAGGGGTGATGTAGGACTGATGTCACTTCCACCTATGCCTTGAGCTGAGATAGAATTTCTGGCACAGTATTAGAGTAAGATCAGACCAGTAGCTTGAGCAGGTAGGTACCTACATGTAGGTATGCACAAGAGAATAAAAAGAAAGGAGAGGGAGGCGCGCGGGAAAGTCAGGCGCGAATCGTCATAAATTATTCGGCCACCCCCATTTAAGCTTCCCTTAAGAACCTCTTCTGTAGCAATCTATATAACAATGTATTCCTACATAATTATGAGAAATGCCCTATCTTGCACCAATTTGATTCCAGATATTTTGTATAATGCTTTTTCGAACTTTTCCGAACTCCGCTGGTTGCCTGAAGAATGTGGCAGTAATATATTGAAGTCAGACATTTCATGCTAAATTTTGACCGCTGAACACTGATCGTTGTTGCTGATTACTACATACTCACACACTGAAATACTCTCCAATGCCTTTGAAGCTATAGTCAATCGCATGAGAGAGTCCACGTATGGATGCCTCGTCGCCTCAGGCGGCGACACTTTACGCGCATAGCGGCGCGTCGGAACTTGAACTTAGTTTTCTCAGCTTGATGTGGCTTCTTGATTCTTCAGTCTGAAACAGATCATGGACAGGGCCTGAACAGCATCTTATTCAGCAATGATCCTTGACTATTGGCTCTTTTCCCCTTTCACACTTCTTGTCCGATTCAAATCATGGTGGAGATCCTCCCTGCTCGTCCGCCCACACCCCCAAGGACAACTTCGCGCATCGTGATTGAAAACGCCGAGTCACCACCAGCCGTTCAAACACCCAATGAGTCACCATTTTCCGCGTTAGGGTCGGTGCAGGTTGGTCCATCCAGCCGCAGTTCGAAGAAAGTGAATTTCTCTCCATGGCCCAAGTACATCAAACCACCAACATTTGCTAGTGCCATGAAATCGGCCCCCGACTTCAAGACTATCCCTCCGTCTCCGAACTCCAAGCCTACGAAGTCAATCTTGAAAGCAACCCAGTCGCCAATTCCCGTTTGGTCACCCAACGTCGATACATTCACCGCCGAATCGCTTGCCATGCTGCTCGAATCAGTAATCCAACAGCTGGCTGGCGAGTCGATGAGCTCCCGACTCGACGCCTACATGCAATTTTATGGTGCGCTACGCACGTATAACGGGCTTCCAGCGGGTCAGAAGATTGCCGAAAAATTGAATCTCATCACCGAGTTTATACAGCGAGATGTGAATCGGGACTTTGCGAACGGCTCCCTTCTCGACACGAACCTTGCCAATCAAGCTCTGAAATTGTCAATTTCGTTTGTTTGGAATCCGGAGATTTCGACCCAGCTTTCGGAAGAGTTCAAAATTTTTCTGGTCGACCATTCCATCACTTGTCTCCATGAGGCCAAAGCCCCAAAGTCCGTTTTGATACACTACATGTCCATATTGTCTAATCAGAGCTTTGGACCCAAGATTATGACCAGTGCTCGTGTAGCCCGTCTTTTGACAGTACTACAAGAGATAACTAAGAACATCAGTGGCAACTCAATTGTTTCTCATCGATTGAACATTTACCAGCGGCTGCTGGGCCAAGCCAAATCCGCTTTCATCTCCCAAGCAAGCCTGTGGATGGAAAACTTGATATTCGGGCTGCTTCATACTTTGAAGGATACTAGGTCAAAATCGATTTCATTTGGCTTCCAGGTGGCGACAGACGCCGGTCCAAATCCTATACTGTCGAAAAACATCCGGGATCTCTTCGACCGGCCATTAGAGCATGACCGAAAGCTTGTATCCGAGATTCGTGAGCGCATGACTCGAATGATGGCGACGGATAGCGGTGAGCATGTTCCTCAAATTTGGAGCATCATTATCCTTCTTCTCCGGAGCAAAAGATGGAATTTTGAGCAATGGGAACATTACAAGGAATGGGTTCTCGTACTCCAAAAATGCTTCAATTGCAGCGAGCCAGTGATCAAAGCGCAGGCTATCGTTGGTTGGAATCGATTTGTCTTTGCTGTCAGCCCCAACGAATCAACGAGCCGATCTCTCCTAAAAATGCTGGGCAAACCGGTACTCTCTCAATTCGACCGTAAGAAGGCCGACAAGTCAGGAGCACCGCCCACTCAACTTGCTCTGACAAGCTACTACAATCTGTTATACTACACTTTTCGCCCTTCAGCTTCTTATCAGCACCTGGATATTATATGGGAGGAATACGTGGCCATTCCGTCTGCAGGCATCTTCTCATCAGCCCCGGTTCTCAGTGACTGTCTTGCGCGCATATTGGCAAACCTGCTGTGGAGTACGCAGGCTAAGATATGGGTAGAGAATCGAATCAATGACACTACCAAAATGGAGGCGGAGGAACTTCCTGCAGCCGACAGCAGATGGGTCCGATCAAGAATTACCTCGATTCTGAAGGTTTTTGAGCATATATTTAAAGCCTCGGTCTGGATTGATGGCGCGGTTGGCCAATCTCATGTGGCATTGGCCTGGAGTAGTCTATCCAGTGCTCTATCGATTGCGTCCAGCAAAGAGATCACCCCTTCGGGGGAATCAATGCAAGCTGTTGCCAGCGTTTGGAGTCTAATGCACCGCCTTTGGAATGCAGGGTCGCCCTCATTGAATGCCGGCACCACGGATGAGTTCTTCGAAAGATTCAGATTCTTGTCTACAACAATGATTGTTTCGATTGGGGGTATTCCGTTTACCGAAAAGCTTCTCTTGAGAAACGCGGATGAAACTGAGAGCATTTCCATACATTTACCTCCTAATACGACCCAAGAAAGTGCTATTCTTCACCTCCTTCGAATAATCAGCAGCACTGCGGGGACAATGGTGCCAAGCCAATCTTATACACTCCTTGTTTTAGGTAATATTGAAGCAGCATGCAACGGGAGATTCTCCCGAGGAACTCGCCTCGAACTTCTCCAACAGTGTGCAGAATTGAGCACTTCGAAGGCCAATGCTATTCCACGTGCGGCTCAGCTTTCGGAGGTGGTTTGGAATGCTACTGCCCAGGTGGCCGCAGATTCTTTACAGTCGTTCCCCATGGAATCCGCTCGTGGGCGCGACGGGTCTGTATCTCGTGACTACGAAAATGTCATCAAGATTCTCTCGCTCGGACTTTCGTTTCCATCGGCTTTCGAAGGGTGGTCTCATTTACTTGAAACCTTTGTCCGCGTGGTTCGAACAGAGAAAGGGAACCAAGCGGTTGCCACTATAATTGTGGAACCCATGGCCGAGCGCCTCATGCATCTTTGCGCTGGAGATACTTACCTACCCTCGACTTCACTGCTTGGTCATTCCTTATCTATCCCTTTCATGCAAGGAACTGGGCTAGGGATTGATCGCAGCGGCATCCAGGCAGCTGGACATGTCATCTTTCCTCATAAACTTAGCGCGTCGATTGCGCAGACATTACATGATGCATATCACAATTTCAACGCATCACAATCCCACGGTCTTGCCGACTTCATCGAGGCATTGACTTCTTTCCTGGGGATCGGTGTTCCGCAGTTCCAATCCCAAATTCTTCAAAATCTCCAGTCATCACTTGGTCTCTGGTTGAAGGACGAATCTTACAAAATTCACGTTGACCACGGCGTTGACAGCAGAATTCTGACAGCGTGCCGTGCGCTATCGTCAGCTACTATCAATATTCTCCAAAAATCAGTTTCCCATGATCTAGCTTCTTTGAAAATCTTCGAGCCGATTGTTTGCGCCGGTTTGGAGTCTTCGCACATGTCAATAGCCAAGAGATATGTCGAACTTTGGGGCTTGACCTTTGGCTCACAGTCTTTAGCCACTCCAGTCACCATTTTACAAGCTGTACAAACTGCTAGCTCGAGGTTGCAGACCGCAACATTGCCTCCGCAAGACGGTGATCAGGATACCGAGATGTTACCTCCATCTCCGCAAGACAAGATGAATCGGTCATTGCATCAGCCGTCTCAGGACACTCAACTTTCGTCCCCCGTCATACGGACCGAAGACTCCTCGGTGGCCATCAAGCCAACTGAGCAGTTCCATGAACCCCAGTTGCCGAGTAACCTTCATCAGCCCACGGATGCGCAAATTATTGATGGTGTTTCAGTGTCTCACAAGCGCAAGAGCCGTAGTGAAATTTTTTCGATGATTGAATCCATTCAATCTTCGTCACCTGCTAGTACGCCGCGGAAATTGGGCTTCAATACTCCTCCGCATCTGCCCAAACTACATGGAGAATCAAAGACCGAACTTCCTCTAACGCCCACTCTCGCCCCTACTGAGAATGAAGAAGGATTCATCGGCTCTTCTCCTACTCCTGGAACCAGAGACCCAACGCCTGCTATGAACTCCGACGCACTCACATCGGGCCATCTGCTTGCGGATTTGGGTATGGACCCTCCATCTTCTCCTCCAGATATGCAATCTCGGAGCCCAAGCCCTCGGAAGGGTCGCTCGAAAAGTGCGCGGCGAAGGGCTGCAAAGACAAGAAAGGCTCTTGTCGGTATATCCGGCAAACAGTCAACGGTCAACAGCCCGGCTACTTCCCATCTTGCAACGGAAAATATAGATACACCTATGGGGGATGCCTATGACTATGATAACGAAAACGCCGACACTGCACCTCGAGTAAATGGAATGACTCCCAGCCGGCAACTTCGATCTGCGCTGGGTAAAGACTCGGATACAGAAGAACCTTCTGCGGTGCCACTGGTTGATTCTGATAAGACACCTGTCCAACAACCTCCTCGCAGAAGCAAATCAAGCTCGGGCTCTAAGAAAAAACGGAAGCAATCTCAGTCTAAGCCTGCGGATGATCGACCCCAGGAAGCCACAGACATGCCTTCTGTTATCCCTCCGGATAGTTTCATGGACTCGAGTGAGGAGACAGAGACACAAGTCGCATCACAGCTTGGACAAGACTTGGAGCTAGCATTGGATATGGAGGACAGAGGTCATCAGGAGCGAACAAAACTTCCGGACGAGCCATCCAGGAAGAAGAGAAAGCGGAATCAAACAGAATCATCCCCAACTATGACAACTGACAGGCGCCGGTCTTCAAGGCTGTCCACGGTTAAAGATGTGGTCAGTGTCGAGCTATTGCAGCCTGATGACTCACATTCGCACCATGCCATTTCTCAGTCGGCCTCTCCAGCTCCATCATTGTCACCAGCTGCAACTCGCCGATCCACCCGCAGTTCACAACGAAAATATGCTGGTAACGCTTCCACGGATTCAGTCCCTGCAACTCAGGACTCCGTTGCGCAGGAATCAACACAATATGTCGAGACCCCGCGGCCGTCCAAAAGGTCTCGAAAATCCATTCGTCTTGAGGACCAGTCTGTGTCTAGCGCCATCGGTAGCACTCCTCAAGGCGTCTCTCGAGATACCCGCTCCCGCAAGACACGGTATCAGCAGACGTCTCAACCTCAACCTTCAAGCATTCCATCCGAGGAAAATGGCGATACTGACCACTTGCCACCTGATGTCAGCCTAGACCGGATCCCCGAGAGCCTCATTACAGAAGACCAAGCGGGCCAGAATACCTCTCTTGTTTCGACCGAAGAGGCAACTGCCACTCAAGTCTCTGAAAGGGAGCAAGCCATTGAGTTTGTGGTAAAACTAGATCCCGAGGAGGACATCAACATGGATGCCGTACAGCAATCTGGTGGAACAGTCGAGCAAACTACAAGTGTTGCCACAACGGGTACTCAAACCCAAGAAACACCCCCTGAACCCAAATCCGACATCAGCGAACAAGGCATCGTCCAATCCCTGAAGATACTCTTAGGCGAAATGAAAATGACGACCTTGTCCCCGAGCGCTTTCCGCGAAGTCGATGATCTCCTCTTCAACCTCCGTTGCGAGGCACAAAATGCATCAACGCGACACAATACTTCAGCATAGCGAATGGCGTTTACAGCGAAACCTGTTGGATATGAATTTTTTACATTGGACCCCGTCTCATCATTATTCCCCACCTGCATCCTATATATCTTTATAACTTGAAGCACATCCCATATTTTATTGTTTGGCACGCTTGATCCCAAATTGATTTTCTTGTACGTTAAGTTTTCCGCGCTCCGAGCTTTCCAAACATTGAACATTATGATCTTCGGGAACAAGTACAAGGACAGGTTTCTATGGATGTTTAGTTCACTCACTCACTTCCATATCCTCGGCCATCTGCTGTCGCTAACGATCAAAACACTCCATTCATAGATATTAGCCAGTTGGCGTCTGACCCGAAAGGTTTAGGTACAGCTTACTTGAATGTCATGGTGACGCATACCGCCACTCCCCTAAATAGTATATCAAGCCAGTCCTGATCAATTTGGCAAAACAGGAATCATTCAAAGCTTCCGCAATCATATGTACATACTGACTTGACTATATTTGTCCAAGCCATGGCCACCCCAGGCACTCAGTATATGATGCAAGCCGGCCTAGCAGCCGATATGTCAGGCTCCCCACACCCCAAGCCGGTGGACCCTTATCTCAGCGACCCGGTCAGCATGCTTCCACCCGGCCTAACACCCGATTCGAACAGCCGAATCACTTTGCGTGGTGTGAGTGGCAAGGATGTACTCGTTCCCTACCTGAGTATCGGCGCATGGTCATGGGGGGATAAAGCAACCTTTGACTACAACCCAACACGAGACCTACCGCGCATCCACGCAGCATGGGCCAAGCTCAAGGCTGTTGGGTTGACCTTCGTGGACACAGCACAATCCTACGGCGACGGTGAGAGCGAGCGGATCTGTGGAATACTGTTCCGAGACATGCCTCGCGACTCTTTCGTTGTACAGACCAAATGGCTATCAACACCAGATATGACCAACACACTCCTGCAGTCTGGCGGGCCCAAGTCTAAGCTCAAAGATTCGCTCGTGCGTCTTCAACTAGACTATGTCGACATCTATCTCGTCCAAGGGCCTATACACCCTAGCAAGATATCCACTGTTGCTAAGGGCATGGCCGGCTGCGTGAAATCCGGGATGGCGCGCGCGGTTGGAGTGGCTAACTATGACACAAATGAAATGATCAAGATGGCTGATGAATTGGCCAAGCACGATGTCCCACTCTCTGTCTGCCAGTGCGAGTACTCAGTCGTTCGTCGCTTACCTGAAGTCAGTGGCTTGATTCGAGAATGCAAAAAACGCAGTATTTGCTTTCAAGGGTTTTCCTCGCTAGCCGAGGGCCGTCTTTCTGGGAAATATTCGACCTTCAATGAGCCGCAGCAGAGGCGGCGTTTCAGCAGTTATCCCATGCGTATGCTGGAACCTACTATCAATGTTTTGAAGAGTATTGCTGAAGAGCGGCATGTGTCTGTTCCTGCTGTCGCGCTAAATTATTCTATCAATAAGGGCGTTCTCCCACTGGTTGGTGTGCGCGATGCTGGTCAAGCGGAGCAGGATATGCAGGCGCTTGGATGGCGGCTGACGGAAGATGAGATCAAACAGATTGAAGAAGTCAGTCTACAGGGTAGAAGGTCCTCCTTTATGCAGCACGGGTAGGTATTGAATATATGATAACATTGCAAAAAGGACCTCTGAATTTCCTTGGTCTTACTCTTGTCGAGGGTCTCCTCCCAATGGCTTTCACGATGTCTAGACCGAAGAGCTTTGAGCTTTCAGTTAAAAATAGAAGAGCAGAGTATGACTCTAATCGCGTCCTTACTAAACCCACTCTACCTAGTTATAGTATATGTCGCAATCAGCTGCCATTCAATTACGCAACTTCATGCCAAGAACCGCGCCCTTGGCAATCGAAGGGGTTTCGACTGTTTATTAGAGATTTCACCTCATTTGGCTGAACCCTGCATCCGCCCATCATGACCATGAGATGCCTGCATGTCATCTCATATGACCAAGCCAAGCTGGCTAATATTTGCCCGTAATATTAATCCCGCCAACAATACCACGACAAGGCACACCATCAGCGCACTGGGATGCTTCCAAGACTCTTGGCGTGACTGTCCCATCGCACCACCCACGAATCTAAAGATCCAGGCTGAGAATTCCTCCCCAGGCCTCTTGGCATGGGTCCGAGGTGACGGGTGCAGCAGGATGAGAGGGTTGGCAAGCCCTTGGCATCATTCGGAAGCCATACGAAAGCGTCTCTGATCTGCTACGGAGGTTTCTGGTCGACTTTGTTATTTTCTTTATCTTCTGTCTCTTGCAAACAGCGTGGTTCTCGCCACATGAAGTTTTAAAGATCTCAACCGCCTGAAACCTTCCTCGTCTAATCGGTACCAATGGTACTCGCCCAGTATCTGAAGAAGGTCGTGGCCTGGATTGCTCCTCCTCCACAAAAATCCGAAGATGGACGTGATCAATGGCCCTCTCGGGCGGCTTTCCTTTTGGCCGCCATGGGAGGCTGCGCCGGTCAGGGAAATCTGCTGCGATACCCGTCGGTGGTCTACAATAACTATGGGCTGCAATGGTTTATCCCCTACCTATTAGCTGTGTTCGCCATTGCCATTCCGGCCCTTATTCTCGAGATTGCGATTGGACAAGCCTATCGTGGCGGGACGATGATCGCGTTCAATAATATCAACCATCGACTGAAAGGCGTTGGCATTGGCCCGATTTTGGTCAGTTTTGTCGTCGTGCAATACTTTACGGTCAATTTGGCGTGGATCATGAACTATTTCCGCAACTCCTTCCGGAGCCCATTGCCATGGGAGGGCAGAATCGAGGAATTCTATATGGGCGATGTCGTCGCCAATGTCGATCCAGCCGTGGGCAATCTCACTGCTGGCAATGGTGCCGTTGCCCACTATACCGTGTACCCCGGCATTGCCCTCATCGGTGAGACGGTCGGCTGGAGCGCATTTATTTGGTTTCTCATATGGATCTCCATCTTCCGTGGAGTGGGCCTGACGGGTCGCGTGGTCTACTGGACGATGGGTCTGCCGATTGTCACCACCATTATTATCGTCGGTCGCTCGTGTTCACTGGAAAATGCGGGCGAGGGTATCCGACTCTTATGGGCGACATGGAGAAGCGATCAACTAGCCTCGGGCACTGTCTGGCAAACCGCCGTCGGACAGGTCTTTTTTTCCACCGGCATTGGTTTCGGCTATTTCACTTCCTATGCCTCCTATAATTCCAAACACTCCAATGCTGTCATGGACGCATTTCTCATCTGCGGAAGTAACATCCTATTCGAAAATTTTGCTGCCTTTGCCGTGTTTGGTGTTATAGGCTACCTCCGACGTTGGCCACAAGATGGCGAGAGATTGGGTGCATTCGTGGTCGGTTTCCTGACGCTCCCCGAGGCTGTTCTTCACATGCCTGGTGCGAATTGGTGGGCTATCCTTTTATTCTTTACCCTGGTGGTTCTCGGATTTAGTTCGGCCTTTGTGATGCTCGACGCGGTGGCTACGTTAGCCGTAGATTCGGGCATGAAAATGTCTCGGCCAATGATTGTGACTAGCCTCACAATAATCTCATTCCTTATGAGTTTGCCATACTGCACCCAGTTTGGATTCTACCTGCTGGATGGAATCGACCGATGGATTAACAACGTGGCATTGATCTTTGTTGTGTGGTCGGAGCTTGTCGGTGCAACCACGGTTTATCGCTGGCACGACGTGGTGAGCCAGACAGGGCTGCCTGCTTTTGTTGTGTATAATTTCGGATACTTTGGTGGCCAGATTGTCGGAGTTGCCGTCGCACACGGTACCTCGAATCCATCAGCTGGTGCCGGCGCCGGGTTTGGGTTGTATATCGTCTGTTCAATTCTTTCCGTCCTCATGGCCACGACCCCGGCTACCAAAGCCGCCGGTTTCTGGGGGGAAACCCTCTTCTCGCCCGATTTTGGTATCTAGCATTCTACTCGGTATGTCCCCACTGCCAGCAAACCCAGCACCAAAAGAAACTAACATGTGCAGGGTAATCAATTGAGACGCGACCTGAACGGTGTCGTTGGAGGTAATGGAAACTGGAACATTCCTCGTTTCTGGCCCATCCTACTCCGGTACGTCAGCGCGCCTATTCTGGCCATTGTGTTCAGCTTCGCGTATCCTGAATTCTATACCTTGCGATACGACCCGATGATGATCGCCGGGTTTATTTTGGCGCACTTCTGTCTGCTCTTGACTCTGCTCGGTGTGGTATTTCCGCGATACTACGATGTCTTTATCCCACCGCACCGGAGGGCCGAGGGCACCGAAACGATGACCGCCAATCAGCCTAAGGAACACGACTTTGTGCCAGATGTCGGGGTGTTTGACTTTGAATCTGGCATGCCAGAGTCGATTTCGGGCCGGAAGAGTTCTGATAAGATAGATACTGTACATTCGGCTGTGCCGAAGCAATAGACTGTATATACCTTGTCCTTGTCGTTAAGGTGACGATGAGCTAGTTATGATGTGGTTTTTGCTATTTCAAGTCCTTCTACAGCAAATACCACGAGTCTCACTAGTACCTATATGGTCATTAGAAAGATTAGCCTGCTTGAAATCGAAATATCTGCAAATGTCAGACATCAAGGTACTGAAGGCCGTCAAAACAAAACAGGCGGGGCCGATAAGATCCCCACCCCCCGCGCTTCCACCTGAAACGTCAAGACATCCAAAGCATCTCTTCTCCCTTTCGACACACACCCTCTATTTTCGAAAACATGGACCGATCAAACAAACCCTCGGCAATTGGGGTGGGAGCTTCCCTTCCGCAGCCCACCCTCTCCATCAAGGACAACATCATCGAAGCTTCGCTGCCCACTGGTCAGTCAGTGACGGTGCACCTATATGGCGCTACTGTGACCTCGTGGAAGACGGGCGGCCAGGAGCAGCTGTTCGTCAGTGAGAAGGCTCGTCTAGATGGCTCCAAGCCTATCCGAGGTGGCATTCCGCTGGTGTTCCCGGTATGTGAACGCTACAATTTCTCGATTTGAGCTACAGCTAACCGCCCTGCTTATTCTCCAGGTCTTTGGTCCCCCGCCCCAGAACCACGCTACCTCATCTCTACCACAACATGGCTTCGCTCGCAACTCTAACTGGGAGTTCTTGGGCAAGTCCTCTTCGGAAGCGCCCGGAAGGGATAGCGACCAAACTGATCTCACTGTGAAGTTGGATTTCGGCCTGTCGCACTCGATGCTGACCGATGAGTTCCGCGCGGCATGGCCATATGAGTTCGGTCTGGTGTACAGTGTTACACTCACCACGGACTCACTAGAGACGGCACTGCAGGTTCGCAACGAGGGCCAGCAGAACTTTGAGTTCCAGGTGCTGATGCACACGTATTTGAACATTGCGGTATGATAAGATACTCAAGAATCGGCCCCTCCTCTTCCCCTGCTAATGGAATTTTACAAATAGAATATCTCCGACATCCGTGTTAAGGGACTCGAATCCAAGACCTACGTCGATAAGACCCTTCAAGCGACTTCTCACACTGAATCGTCCCCCGCATTGGCAATCACCCAAGAAACTGATCGCATTTACCAACAACTCGATCCTGCCGCTCCAATTGTCGTTGCGTCTGCGAAGGATGACCAACCTTTGTTCTCGATCACTCGGGAAGCTTTGACTGATGTTGTGGTCTGGAACCCATGGATTGAGAAGGCCAAGGGCATGGCCGATTTCGGCCCAGACGAAGCTTACAAGCACATGATCTGTGTGGAGGCTGGCTCGGTGTCTGGTTGGCAGACGCTTGAAGCTGGAGAGGCCTGGGAAGGAGGACAAAGCATTAAGTCGCGACTGTGAAGATGAGAGGATATCTTGTCTCCTACTATTGATCTCTATGCATGATAGTTATGACCTGAAGACGCCTATTCCCAATTTCAAATTGAAGATCCGCTAATCGTGCGGCCATATTTGATCTCTAGCCTCGCCTTGCTTGACTATAGACAGCACTTTTATACACAAATCCCGAACTTAGTTCAAGATGTAGATACACATGCTTTGACGATATTACATGTCATCAACACGCAACAACAGTCCCAATTCGCCCCATTTTAATTATTTCAGAATCCATTTCTCGTTCATCATGGAGCATTTCCATGCTCAATACCAACAGGCGAAACACCCACAAGATCAATAAAAGATCGACGACCCTGCTTGCCCTCTTGGAAAGTAGCCAACCGCTCAGCAGCCTCAAAGCTATACTGCGGGCCATGGTATTGGCGTCTGCCACGGAACACCCACCAGGAGGCAGTGAGGGCCATCAAGCCGACAACGATCACACTGGTATAGTTCATATTTTCAACCGTGGCCGGCAACACGAGGGGAAAGCAGAAGAAAATAACAGTAACCAAAATATACATCAAAGAAACAATGTTAACCGCCATCCCAAGTTTCTGTCCCATATAAAATGGCCCGGGGACCATATTTCCACGACCAGACAAAACATGCGGAAAGATGGCCCCAAAGTAGGACAGCGAGCTCAGCACAATAAACGACGAGATCAGCGCTTGGAATGCCGTCGTGCTGCCGATATATATACACCCCAGACAAGTGACGAGAGCGCTCATGGCGACTGTGGCACGCACGGGGCAGTTCAGGGTCGGGTGCACTTGGGCGAAATAGTTCGAAAAGGGTGTCGCGTTGTCGCGTGCAAGACTCCACCACATCCGACCGCCAGTCACGAATGTCCCGATCAGCGTTGGGAAGGTTGCGAGAAACAGTACTGCAATCAGTCCGATGGCGCCTGCGTTAGACCCTGTTGCTTGTCGGTAGATCTCGGCGGTTGGGAAAAAGCCAATGTTGCTTGCAAAGACGGCGTCTAGATCTTGGATGGAGTAGAAGAGGGCGATCAGGTACACAAAGGATGTGACGAAGGCTGTGAGCATCTGCAACATTATGCCTTGAGGAACCTTGATCTCTGGTTTAGGGACTAAAACATGTTAGTTGGTGATTTCCTTTCCTTTTCTCCTGTGTCTGACGTACCCTCTTCTGATAAATGGCTAATGCAGTCTGGGACTCCAACCGCAAATGCAGCATTCAACAGACCAGTCATAAAACACACCCCGTCTGACCATCCACCCGTGTTGTTGTGGTACTCAGTCCACACTTGGGTGTTGCTGGCATGATCTTTCGGCATCACCGTGAGAACCACGACAGTTGTAACGAGGCCACACATCGACAAGATAAGGGAAAGGCGGTTAATGAGAGGAATGAACCGATTTCCCAGGCATACAATGGCACAGCACGCCCAATTGACAATCTGGAATACAATAAATACTTGCCAGGATTTCCACTTCACATTCGGGTATTTGAGCAGATACATGGCCACGCCCTCATTCCCCAGCATGGAACTCATCGATGATGCCGACAGCAGCCACGCGCAAGCATTCAGATACCCAGTAAAGAACCCCGCTGTACGGCCTCGATTCCGGCTCAGAACTGATGACCAGTAGTATACTCCACCGGCAGAGGGCATGGAGGAGGCGAGTTCGGCCAAGGAAGCTGAGATGGTCGTGTAAAAAATGCTGACTAGAATCAGTCCGTATAGAACAGCCATTGGACCGCCATTCTGGAGCGCAGCGACAATTGTACCCCCTGTTGAAGCCCAAGAACTTGGTCACGTTAGTCCGTCGAGGTTTTATCAGTGCAATTTGCGGTTCTCAAGGGCCTTACTTTGCAATGACAATACCCAAGCTGGTCAAACTCCACATCCCAAAGTTCCGCGGAAGCTCTTGTTTGTGTCCAAGTGCGGATTCAAGCCGTACTTCGTCCATTGCGGCATGGCCTTTCGGGGGCTTTTCAGTGTCCCTAGAGGCTTGCCATGAGAAGATCGCCATTTTTCCGTGCGTCGTGCGATGTTAAAGCGAATGACTGGGTCGAGGAAAGGGAAAAAGGAGGTGCATCACCCCACTTGGTTTGACAGAGCATACAGGGCGCACAGGAACAATCAGGTATGTCGCAACAGGAAACCAAGATGTGACGCCAATGCCCTCATGGCTGCCACATGTATTACACGAGGTCCAAGCTTCAGGCGAGTATGGTTAGTCTCTCCGAAGGAATGCATATGTTTTCTTTGTTACCCTAGATGAAATATGGAGCTAGAGACGTTATTGGCAATAGTATCACTATTTTTGTGAGAAAAGGACCCATACTGTGCGCATCTACGGAGTGCACTACCCAAATGTATTACGATCTTGCTTTTGATTGGACACGTACGAATTGTTTCTCTTGTGACCTGCCCGAATCGGAGCTGAGTTGATACATCGCAGACTAAGTAAGGGGGTCTCGCGGCGAATGCGGAGGTGTCGATCCGATGGGCTTAGCCACATACAACGTACGGACTACTCCGTAGCTTGAGGCGAATTTCATCCAGTTGGGGTGACCTTGCAATATTGTATTTCGCAAATTTTAGTATGTCAAATATATTCTGCATTCCAGCGGTCTTAGGGTTTTTCTGCGCGACATTCAATTAGTCTGCGCCATGCACAAGATCGCGATGTCCGTGATAGATCGACCACATGGCCTCGCGTGATTGATGAGTTGTATTATAAATATATGAATGCATAGTTATAGAGTACAGAGTGCTTCCTATGTTGTATAGGGCTTCGCTGCTTGGATGAATAGTACAGATCCTCGTTTCTTCTTTTCTCGGAGAATATATATATTTTCGGACTACGTGTTGACCCAAGTCTTCTCTATCGGTATCATCTGAATCCAAAAGAGCCTCTAAATCATGGAATCATCCATTTGAGTAGCTCATTTATGGTGTCCTTGCTAATACAATAATAAATCATTATCCCACCAACTACGGACAGCCCTTTTCAATGGTTTTACGCGGATGATCAATACTGAACATGACCGGCTTCAACTTCATCAACAATATACATACTGCGGTGTTGTAGCAACGTAACAGGGCTCGCTGGTAAATTGTTTAGCAGTTATAAATGGACTTCCGCACGACCCTCTTCATTATCGACCGACTTCGCTTCAATCAGTGCTTCATTTGCCATGCTAGCTAGCGGACATGAAAAAGCAATGAGTAACCAAGTTAAGAAGCGCTCAAATACGTCATTAGATACCAACAGATGGATAGAAATTAAATAGAGCTGTGGCATTCAAGGTCGGCCACATAATGACGCAGTTCCTAACCATCGCCCTGAGGTTGTGGACGTTCTTGGCCTTGGTTAATGAGGTAGCCGTATCGGAAAATCCCTGGATACCGAGTAATCAAGGACATTTCGGTGTAGCCAATGCCATAAGAGCTAGATATATACGTTGGGAGTGCATATGTATATAGCTTTCCTCAAATAGCTTGCTAGCTTGAAATATGCAAAATTTCTCACATCGACACGCTTGCAATCGACCACACTGGACTCCATACGGAGTACGGAGTAAACTTTTGCACTATGAATCACCATTTCTGTAGGATGGGAAAACAGCCGTTCTACGGATCATATCCAATCCCTTCCTGCTCTACCTGCTCCGGACTTGCGTTCATACGGCTAGATTTGCCGAGTTTTTCGAGCAGTAACAACCAGTAGCGCTTGTATTTATCCGGTATTCCAGAACTTTCCCGAGCGCTGGAAAATACTAAAGACACCGCAGTCCGGAATACAACCGTACAGAGCATGGTAATCATAGTCGTACTTAGAATAGGACAGATGTACAAGTTCCCATGCACTACTCCGTAGTTAGCGGCTTTTCAGCTTCTAAAACCAAACCTCAAGATTGTGAAAAATTAATCGGGAAACAGGGTTTCATAGGGATGAAATGCAGGAGGTTGAACATTCATATCAGACATGATCTTCGGTCCACGACTGGCGTGCCATGGCAGTTCTTATTAACCCTTTCTTTAGTTCGCAGATCGCGCAAGTCTATTTTATAGAGAATCTCTGTGTTTGGGAACTATTAAATCTCGCTTGGATCGCCATGCAGATCAGCGTTCTAAACTTCCCAATAATATCAGCCGCACCGCTCCTACGTCTCCACTATTGGGATATGATCTGTCAACAAGTTTGTTTATGTATGCTCGAGGCATGGAGATCACAAAGCTATCGGCAACGCGCATAGGGGGAACTTTACTGCTTGAAATATTGAATGGCGACCAAGGATATGTCGTTACACCAATCTCGCTTAACGAATCCTATTAGAGATATTCCCGCACAACTGCGTCGTTCTGCACAACATTGGACAAATGAGGAATGTGAAGCGTAAATCTTCTTCTCCCATATCTATTCCATACTTCGTGCCTACTTTGTACATTCCAAAACCGACTGTCATTAACCGGATTGGCGCTTGGAGGCAAGTAATCCCTTGCGTTTACGCCCCATTCTTCCTTGCTTGTCAGCTAGCACTGACATCTCATGGGCCAGGACGCATGACGCCACAGCCCTCGGTTGGTAGCTTTAATTCCATCTTCGGGACCTAAGGTTAGCCACTTTCACCGACTGGATGAAATGATCGCTCTCTCGGCACAGTAGTTTGTTCCGAATACATAATTTAAAGATTTACCCAGGCCCCGGTAAACAAGTTATGGCGCCAATTCAAACTTGTCGCTGATGCTTCTCATCAGAACGCTTCGATAAATTGCCATTTCTCATATATGGTAGACTCGTTCTATCGCATCCTGACAACTTGAGATCTGGTTCAGGGAGAAGGTCGCTCTATCCGTCAAGATGGGTAACGAGTCGCCCACTCCGAACCAGCTTTTCACAGAAGCCATAGTCTTCTGGTCTATAGGGCTTGTTATTTATGTCGGGAGAGTGTAGGTTTGAGACGCATGTCCGGAATTAGAGCAATTGCTAACTGCAGCGAAGTGTGGCTCGCATAATTGCCAACGGATCATATAAACGGTTGTTTGGTAAGACTGCTAAGATCTATTTGTTTTAAACTCTGCTAATAAGTAACTCCAGTGGACGACTATGTGATGGCAGCAACATTTGTAAGTGTTATCATCGCCGATTATGATGGTCACTTCTTTCGACTTACCCGACGGCTCCTCAAAAGGCAATATATACCACACTGCTAGTACTGATTCAAATATCGGCCCGCTACGCAACGAACCTCATGGACCCTAAGGACTACGACATGGTGCTAGCAGACCCAAAGCAAGTCAGCGATCGGATCTATGGAAGCAAAATTGTCATTGGGCTGGAGCAATGCATGTTGATCTCAACCTGGGGCGTCAAGACATGCATGTTGATGCTCTATTGGCGAATCACGCAGAATCTGAAATCGAACCTCTATATCAAGATCCTTGCCGTTTACGTTGCCGTCGGATTTGTCGTCATAATGGTCACATATTATGCAGTTTACTGCCGGCCGTTCTCACAATACTGGGCCATGCCGGTGGATAACATGCAGTGTGCGACATACCAGTACTACTCGATAACCCAAGCCGTCTTCAATATTTCCTCTGATGCCGTCATGTTCGCCATTCCGATTCCCCTCCTTATCAAAGCTCAGCTCAAACGGCGCAGAAAGGTCGTCCTCATCGGTGTGATGAGTCTGGGCTTGTTCACTATCATTGCTGCTATTCTAAACAAATATTTCAATTTTGCCTCTCCTCTCACCACAACTTACCAAATCTGGTACATCCGTGAATCTAGCACGGCAATATATGTCGCCAACCTCATGTGCTGGTGGCCACTCCTGCGCAAGTTGTTTGGTGTCAAGGCATTCCAGTACAACAGCAACCGAGCCCAGAAACCTGGGAAGCCCGGCAACCAGAACAATGATAGTAGCGGCTGCTACTCCAACAACTCACAGTCCCATCCTTCATCCGATCTCTCTCGCTCATGGAAGTTACCTTTTCATCGAGGAAATAAAAACACAACTCCCGGCAAGTACAGCGGTGCCAAGGGCCCGAGTACCGAACCCATTAATAGGTCCAATACCGAGTTTATGAACGATATGCATCGTGTCGAAGCTGTCCCCCTCGAGAACTGGACGACAAAGTCACATACTCGAACTGACACTTCGATAACCCAAGACTCACGCAACTCGCTTGAGAAACAATGTGATTTTGAATTGTACCAAAAGCAGCATGCACGCTCGCTTTGTTGACATCATAATGTTCCTGCCTGTTCAAAATTGTTGTTGATTGCTTGTACGTTTTAGCACAACGCCTTGGTAATTTATATTTGAATCAAACAAATATTTCTTGCTCATACTCCCTACAAAAGTAGAAATACATAGAATCTACCCCGGATCGACAGCTCAACCATGGTTTGCGCTGATCTTCCGGAGAGAATTGGGTGAAGATGAATTAAGTGGGATTCAGTCGGCCGCGTTTATGGCCTTCGTAATTGCTCGATGGGATCAGTAGTCTCTTTATTAGTCACTTCAGAAGTATTTTTGGTAGTCTTTCAAGAGCCTTGTATAGGTAGACTGTAGAAAAAGGATGCGACTACTGAATTTTTGTAAAGGATTATCATTGTAAACGGCGGACCTGTGAATTACTGTATCCGGTTAGTTTTGCCTTTTTGGGTTTAGCCCCCCAATACGCCGTCACGTAACCTACCTTCAATGCCGCCGACATAAAAGACCCGTCTTCGCTGCTCTTCCTCCCCTCTCTCACTTTTTCATTCTTCCTACCCCTCTACTTTGCACTCATCGCCGCCCCCTTTCTTTTACTCTGGCCCCCACCGACTGGTGATCTGAGTCCTGAACGCCTCGGAGTTGTCCTCTACGTGTTTGACGACCCAGTCCCGATCGTAGATGTCGTCGTAGGTCTCCCCGCCTTCCTTGGCCTCGTCGAACCTGCTACACGGACTTGGTCTTCCGCCCGTGGCGCTTGCGCATGAGACACAGAGCCGGATCGCGTTGTTGTACATGTCGTCGTTGAAGATCGTGTTGAAGACTAACTTGGAGCTGTAGTCACGTTCGTGTGCAACAACGCGATCCGGCTCTGTGTCTCATGCGCAAGCGCCACGGGCGGAAGACCAAGTCCGTGTAGCAGGTTCGACGAGGCCAAGGAAGGCGGGGAGACCTACGACGACATCTACGATCGGGACTGGGTCGTCAAACACGTAGAGGACAACTCCGAGGCGTTCAGGACTCAGATCACCCTCGCCTTCTGCTCGTCCTGCGACCTCAAGAAGAACAAGGGGGTTCAGCCCGACATCCGGAAGATTGCCAGAGCAACCGAGGAAGCCACCGACGGGCTCCTGGGCACCTTCATCTTTGCGGGCCTTACTGCGCATTTGCTTTCAGCCCGACGCACTGCCCCTTTCATTTTTACCGGAGATGCCGCTCGATAAGAACTTTAGTTACTAGAGATATACAGCTATTTGGAGTCTAGCAGCCTAATGCCAATTACTTGGGTTTAGTGATTGCAAACCGAAGGCAGAGGACCCGATATCAGGGACCCAACGGGTCTTAAGACCGGGGTCTCAAGACCTGGCAGGCCACCCGACTTCCAACTGGCCCTCAACGGTTTCAGAACTCGCACAGTCGCAAATCCTAGCGTCAGAGACAGCTGATATCTTGAGGCTAAGAAACAGACGCTATAGTTCTTTATCAAAATCTAGCTCTTCTTTATCCGCTTTGAGCATCTCAGCCACCTGGACCACTTTTTTCCCGAGTTACTTTAAGGTCCTCCCCAAGTCTCATAAGAACAGTATTCGAGCCATCTTCTATTGCGGCTCGACTAACCTAGATGGCTGCGGACCTACGATTCAGGTAAGGAAGGGGCTCTCAGTTAGCCAATCTTTTCAGCCCTACTGTATATACACTACTTTGGCACGCCCTCGTTTAACAAACGTTCGGTCACAATTCCACTGCCCGCCGATTTTCCTCACGTTGGATATTACGTTAAACCCGCGCGTTAATGGTGAATAAATACTTTCCTCTCCCTACGATTTTATCATTTAATTGCGGTCAGATCGGTCTCGTTCTACTTTGAATTGATAATGCATTTGTCCGACTTTCAAATTTCCTACGGATTTCAAAGTTCGAAACAAACGGCAAGTCTATTTTAAAATATTGAACATATATTTTTTAAAAACTAGGGCACCTGATGAAAAAGGCATATGAATATAGTAAAATGTGCAGCGGGTTTTCGGCTTTCCTTGGCTCGCAATTAGTATGTCTCCAACTATGGCTCAGATGAAAGACGACTGACCTATCAAGAACTCCTACTATCCAGCCCCAATACTAGTGACAGACAAAGATCTGCAGCAGGTTGATAAAGATACACCACAACAACCTAAACAAACCGTAAGACCAAAGCGAAAACTTTAACTTGAAGGAAAACCTTTACAAATCGTGATTTGTTGTCCCATTCTTGGTCAGAGATTGCATGCAATCATTATCTGAATACAGTAAGCTACTTCAACGAATTTATTGCACAATAAGTTTGAGTTGTGTAGTTATGATTCTCCAGACGCAGTTTTTCTCCATCCGGACCTACTCGGTCCTCGGATCAGGTCTATCGTGGGAAACACCACGATTTTGGCACATCTAGATATTCCTACGAATAGAGTGATCGTCTATCGTGCGAACGACCACGATTTCGATCTCACATGATCTTCATCATGCTCGGTTGCTGAGCAGACAGACACTTTGGTTTGTGTTTCCGTTACAACTTGCTCCCAATGTGTACACCCTGTACAGTGCTTCGGGAAATCCGTTGTCACCACCTACGCTCTTTGATAGTTTCTCGAACCCGTGAGATTGTAATGTATTCCGTAACCTGATAAATAGAAGAGCTATCGTATGATGGCTCTTTGACTATCGTGCTGTTCGTACTTTCCTGCTGAATGACATACAATTTGTTTTTTAATTTCAATGCGACAATTTGGTCCTAACGTTCGTGAGAGATATGATCGTCCTGTCCCTTCATGGTTGTCGCTTCGTCTTTAGTGTCTGTTTGGTGAAGGAGAGGACTCTTCTCAATACTCGCACTTTTCTTACATATATCTTCGTTGGCATATTTGTTAACGTTACTAGAGGCTGGGATAGAGGCATAAGGGTGCGAAATGCTTTCCCGATGAGGATGGGCTCTGCCCGTTTGGATAGCGCCGTTGTCAGTCTCGCGATCAGCAGCAGAAAGAGCGAAATCGCCAGAGTCAAAGTATGTCCGTTCCTGCCAATGGTCAGTTAGTATGCGTCATAAGAAACTGTATTTTAAGTACCTTGGACTTTTGAGCAAGTAAGCCTCCACGCGGCAGCTTTCCGTACTTTTTGAGGAGACGGTTCTCGGATTTAGACAATGGCTGAGAGGATCATTAGCGTCGTTGGTTTAGGAAGGGTGGGACCTACTTCGGAATCTGGTCCTCCTGATTGCATTCTGAAATATTAGTACTGTATTTTCAGATGATTTACCAAGCCTGCGATGGGGACTGGATCTGAACAGGTATACTCAAGATTATCGGACTTGACGTTCATGACGTAATTTGTCATGTCGCGTGATGCAGGCGATTAGTCAGCTAGACCACAGAGAGCTTTAACTAGTCGTTCAGCTGACGGCCGGGTACAGAGTCAGGCCTTGATCACGAAGATTTACACTCTTTCGCTCTTTCTCGGCGCCATATCCGTGCGTTAGATCGGTAATAGGTTTAGCTCGTTACCAAGGTTGCAGAAGATTCGCAGCAAAACCTGGCAAACTGTGAATAGACCAGTGTCTGGAGAGTTTGGCAAGGTGTTACCTTCTTTCCTTTTTCGAAGAGCCTTCCGATGGCAGTTTGATCATCAAAAAAGCGCCTTTATTCTTATTTGATACAGCTGGGTACTTGACTAACATGATATTGGTCTTGCATCGAACAGGCCTCCTATTGTAAACGACTATTAAAAAAAGGAAAAAGTTTTTTACGACATTCCGTTGCGAGCATGCGATGACGTCATTTGGCACTCCAATCCGAGTGATAGCCTGGTTACCGTCAAAGGAATAATTTGCAATCCGAGCCTTCATTCTTTCATTCAACGAAAAGCCAACGCCAATTAAACAAGCCCGACAAAATGACTACGAATTATATTGTAACTGAACTTCCCTTCATCCCCTACGATCCCCACTAACAAAGACAGGTAACCTTTCAAGACTCGGCCACCACTGAGCAGATCAATACCTATATCCAACAGATCAACGGAGACGGTGGAACTGTAATCAACAGATTTCCAGACATGATCGCTAGAGGTTTCACGTATGTGATCTGTCTGCTCTAACGCTTCATCGGATGTTCTACTGATTTGCGCTCCAGTGCCTGTATAACAGATTCAATCCTCCGAAAGCTTCAGTCAGACCCTCTGATTGATCGTATCACAGCTGATAGCTCCTAAGCTCGGCGTTGGCTCGCCTAGCATCCTTTGCGTCGAATTCCCTGGATTCTTTAAAAACAACGATATGATTCATGGCTACTTGGTCACATTGACCACTGTGTTCGCTGCCTGTGTATATGTAGGGGAAAGTGATCTCTCGCTGTCACCCCTTACAATCACAGAATTGAACCAGAAAGTCGTTGCCCTTATGGATCAGGGCTGCTCCGAACCACTGACAATTTTGACTGGGAATCGCGGTTTCAATATACTAAAGAGACCAAGAAGTCATCCCAACGTCAACGAACGCTAGAGCAATGGACAAATGTATGTAATAAAGGGACGCTGCGCGATCAGGTGTAGAGCTGCCATTTTTGCTAGTGGCGTCAACGTCGTATTTGGACCAGACAGGACACTACCTTCAATTTCAGTCGTCGATGAACCATGATACATCTTTGAATGAGACTGGTTTCGTAAAGAACAAATCCACTCCTGACGCCAATGCCTCCGACTAGCGGACCTGATTAAGAGTTGAAGGACGAGTCAACCAATTATTAGTCAACCGACATGAAGACCTAGGTCGGTATGCTATCATGCATAAAGTACAACCGAGCGACCGAACCAAATAGCATAGACAAGGCAAAATACTGTCTTCTCTTACCATATGCGCGTAGCCTTTAGTGGAGTCACATTATATTGATGGGTTCCCGAGCATATCAATCTGCATTGATTTGGATCTTCAGCATCTGGAAATGTGTCAATTTACTATCGCTCACGCAGCCCTCCGCGAGTTCATGCAAAATTACCCTGGTTCAATCAGCTTTATTGGGTGTCACGAGGTTCGTTTGATTGTTTCAAACTCGGGGTTTCGGATGCACCTGGAAAACTTGCCGATGGGCTCCTGCTTGACTAAGATCCCTTTCCCCTCTAATCAGACCAAGTGGTAACCGTGCCAAGCACCCAACCACCCTGTCGTGATTGACCCGAGAGTGGGCTAGGAGACGTTCAACCGCCTTGTCATGCATGCCATGGATCCCCTATGTATTCTTGAATGAGTGACCGTTTCCATTCTGGTCCGGGGTTTAGCAATGTTGGCGTGTAAGCTGCTGGGCCAGGGGAATCCCAGGGATGCAAAATTAGAAAACAAAAATAAAATGCACCGACCGGGGTTCGAACCCGGGCTGTTGCTTGATTCCAGATATCGCTCTTTAGGAGCATGGGAAAGCAAAGTCGTTCCACTCGACCACCGGAGCCTTCTAATGATACTTATGTCGGGACTCATATTCATCCGATTCTATCGGGGCAAGACTAGAAGAAGCTAGTATGAAGGAAGAGGAAGAGAGGATGGGGTCGACATAAACATGAATCTTTTTTTTGTTTTATGTCAAGAACTAGGGTTACAATACCTAGTAGATACAGGGTATTCAGGTGACCTAGCCTTTCACTGAGCGCTCAACCACCTATACTAAGGGTATATGACAGACCCTTGGGACAGGATTCCTCCTGTGATTTCTGCGAGGGCTTCCAGGGGTCTCAGCAACTACAGGAGGGTGTCTTCCCCATCAGAAATTAGATGAAAGAATGTAAGATCTAATGGAATTCAATTGAACTGTCTCAAGGGTGGTTGATCATCTAAGACTACGGAGGGGATGAGCGAGATCACTTTCCCAATAGGAAAACAGGTTTTTCCTGTGATCAAGCGGCAGCCCAGGTTCGAATCCCGGTCGGTGCATTTATTTTATTTTATTCTAATCTTAAGCCCTTGCTAGAACTTGAAGTTAGGATAGAACTTTGGCAGACAAGATAAAATCGAGTTGAATTTTTGATACTTTACCTATACCGAGAATCATGGAAGGAGGGATACTTCTAGGCGGCAGGCACCCCGGAAAGGCGATATTTAGGCTGTCTATAAAAGATGCAGCCTACCTGGTATATATTAACCTAATTCATCAATACATGTATCCTTTGGGCTCTTACTTAAAGGCCAAAAAGCCGAAAGAGAAAGAGTAGTCCAATTTCTTAGATCAAAACCCGGGGATGGATGGACAAAATAATTATGTCAGCGCTTATCTGAACCCGGGGCTTATCGGTGACGTCGTGCTGTCAACAGAACATCAACTCTAACTCCCAACATCCGTTGAACAAAGCAAATATGTCTGATCAAATTCCCTCCGCAACTGCTGACCCAGAAACCGTTGAAACCTCCCTTCCTTCAAACGCTGAAGATCGGAAAGCCGCCGCCGCTCTCTCCTCCCTCAACACAAATGAGATCGCAACGGAGGGTGCCTCTGCCGGAGCACCGCTTAGCGCAAACCAAGAAGCTCTGGGAAGGGCCATGAGTCGGCTCGAAATAGCTGCTGGACAGGGCTCTGGCAACAACAAGGCGGCTGAGGGACCGAAGACTGATGGACTGAAAAAGAAGACAGTTAAGGTCGCTCCAGCTGATGTTACACTGCTAGTATGTTTACCATGTCTATGGCCTCGGTGCTCGTCTTTGTGCAGCCTTATTGATATATCTAGGCTGAACAGCTCGATTTAAATAAGACCAAGGCCACGGAGTTGCTCAAGGCTTATGATGGGGATGCCACCGAGGCAATGAAGGCATTCATTGCCCCATCTGTTCAGGCGTGTTGACTCAAACTATTTACTGCTTTTGGCACAATTTAATGGATCGAGTCGGAATGAATCAGGTAGGAACGAAACTTCGTTTCTACATATCAAGACTCGCTCTTTATGCTAGGGGTCTGGTTGTCACAAAGGCATGTAGACAATGGTTATCAACAGGTTGAAGAAAATCACTCCTCGTCTTCCTCTATCTCATCTTTCTTGTGTTCGATTCCCTTGCCCTCGTAAATGCTCCACAGCATAGCCCAACCAAGCAAAGACTCAACAGCCAGTGCCCACCAGACAGCCCCAATCATGTTATTCTCGAGGCCCAGGCCCAGCCCCCAACCACCCAGGAAAGGACCCATGGTCCGACCCGCACTAGCAATACTCTGTGCCACTCCATGGACTGTGCCTAGGATAGATGGATCCGTGACACAGTTGTTTACCAGGATGATAGCAGCGGGCAGGATAAATGTCCGCGAGATGACCTGTAAGCTAATGACAAACGTGAAAGAGGGCCAAATAATCCATGGTATGCGTGGAAGAACCACAAGGAAGGGCATCAGCACGTATGCAATGGGCGAAAAAGGAAGGAACGTTCGGAATGATGTCAGTGTTCCCAGCTTTGTCTGTATCATCGGGTATAGGAAGATCTGGAGTGGCAGGCCGATGAAACCAATGATAGCAGTAGCAAGCCCAACTCGAGATGATGGAAGACCTAGTCCACCGCCGAAATGGAAAAGACCTTGCCGGGAGTTCTCTGGGGCACGGGGTGCGGGCAAAAATACAAATGTCATAGAGTTGAAGGCGCTTGTGTGGAAGGCGAGCAGGAAGTGAGCCACCAAAGTCAGGACAATGTTGCGTGTCCAGATCTGGCAGAACCCTATTTTCTTATGCGGCCGTGGATGCACGCGAGAGCGAGCTGGACTTGATGGCGTAGACCAAGCACCGAGGCTGCCGTCCGTGTAAACGGAGTCATCGTCGCTGGAGCGTGTAAGTGGACGATAGTGCCGGGGTCGCCGGGTCCAAGCTCTTGTAAGCCGCTTGCCCAATTTACGACCCCAGTCTTTTCTATAACGTGCAATTTCATGGGTCTGGACGGTTTCGCTGTTAGTGACTATATGAGTGTGGACGGGGATTGACCTCACCTCATCGAGCCCAAGAAACACTGCGAGAAATGACGTAAATATGAAGATTGCGCTCAAAAGATTCGGCAATGCATAGGGCCAATGCTGCATCCACCAGACACCGTCTTTGCCCCCGATAGTAGAACCCGGGCCGAAAAATTGGGGAAAGCTGTTGATAGGATCGGCCAAAGTGCCTCCCAAGATTGGACCTATGATTACACCAATGTTGAAGCACATGGGTAGGAGCAAAAACGCGCGGGATTGATATCTAAACAGTTAGCTCAAGGCAGGTTGGCACATTGTGTGAACATATCAACTTACTTCTTCTCAGCGATGATCTCTGCAATCAGCGTCCGCATCACTCCCACGTTGCTGTTCAATACCCCACCTAGTGTCCGAAAGACCATGGCCGTCGCAAAAGATCGAGAGAAGCCAAAGCCTATACAAGACAGACAGGTGCCCATCAATCCGATCAACAGCACTCTCTTCCGTCCCATCCATTCAGCATCGGCAAGACGGCCCCACCAGACAGCGGTGATAAATTGCGCGGCTGTAAAGCAACCCTGGAGCATACCCGCCTGGGCGGAGATCTTCGAGTCTGGCAGAGATGGATCAAACGATTTGAGCTGATAAAACAGATATGCCTGCAGAGAGGTCTGCGTTAACGGCTCTGACAGTCGCGCCAAGGTCAAGATTGCCAACTGGCCCTTCTTCGGTAGTGAGCTCCAAGTCACTGGTTTCTCTTCGTCCTCCTCGACCGGCCCGAGCACGGCGTCATGATCATTATCTTCATCAATTGAGGAAAATCGCCGACGACTTGTTATCAGCGGCGCGGACTCCAATCTCCTCGGCTGGGGATTTTCGAAAATTGCGGTGTCATCGCTCTCAAGATCGGAGTCGCTTTCTGTACCCGACAAGTCTGCATGATGACCAGTCAAGTCGGAAGCGTCCTGGGAGACAGGATGGACATATTCTCGGCCCTCGTGGCGGTCTTGGCCATGGTTCTGGATTTGCGGAGAAGTCCCCATCAACGGAGATCCCGGTTCGGGAAGCTGTCACGCGAGCGCGCCTGGGGTAGATACCGATCGGATGTATGACACACTGTTGTGCGTGATTCTACCTTGGCACTTTATCTCCGTACGTAAAGCAGTCTGTAACTCTTGTAGAAAAGAAAAGTTGGGGTGAAAAAGGAGCTATGACACAATTTCACCCCACATTTGCGTGGGGTCAATGCGATGAAGATGTTGCCGAGTTAACCGCCTGGCCAACAATGGACTCGAGATATGAGACCGTAAATACTCCAGGCACGAGTTTAGTACCGCCAGTGTGCCAATTTAGATTCTACATATAGTATTCATAGTTTGTAATATGAGTGAGTGAACTGGGGTATTGAACCTTCAAGATTGGAACTAGCACGAACTAGTCTAGATTCCTCAAATAGACAAATTTCGAGCACGATCCCAATCAGCCTACTAGCTGTCGGACCTGCTCGGACGATTTCGTGCGTATATATCAGTGCTGATGGTGTCGATGGTATGAATAAAATGTGTCGGATCCAGGTCGCCAGTGAGAAAGAAGGAAGTGTGAGCGGTAAATTGATACGAAGGAAATAATACACCCCAACTTTTGCCTGAGATGAGTAGCAAATAGACAAATGGAATAAACAAGGGCCTTTGTGTACTTTTATCACTTTGACTTGGGATCCGATTAGTCGTGGTTCAGACAATCAAGCCTTTGTCGTGTCCTCGACTTTCCAAGTGGCCCCATGAAAGGCATTCATAACATACATCGTTAACTCTCGACATATTCGATCAAGTCCGTTCGATTGTACTTTCACTACACTCACCACCGCGTCGAGTTATCCTCTCAGTGCAGCTCTCATCTAATCGTCAATCGGCTATGGTCACATCCTTACTTCACTGTCTCTTTCGATCTCTTGTGTTATTTTTAGAGTATCACTTCACTAACAACTATATAGCCTAGCACAGGTCTACTAACAGACTTTCACGATGCCCTCAGCTACGGGAAACTCCTCTTCCGATGGCGTGTCCATCTGGGAACAGGCCTATCACGACGCATGGCGACACTTCCAAGCCTCCATAATGGAGGTCGTTGACCGGCTAAGCTGGCAAGACCCGTCTTCCGAAGATCGCCAAACCACAATCGAGAAGCTAGGCCGACTTACAATTGAGGTGGACAATATCCGAAGCACGGGACAAGCCATGTTTGAGCATGTCCCAGGCTGCCAGACAGTGCGAAACGAGCCTCTTACGCACTTCGTCGATGAATTCATACGGGACTGTCATAGGCTCCATTTCAAGCTGAATATGCTCGCGTGGAGACTTATGAATCGCCCGAACAGTGACAAGACAGTTTACAATCGCCTTCTCAGGCTACTGGATTACATCAAGGATCGGGTTCCAGAGTGAACCATAAATTGGGGTTTGTCGGGTTGCTTTACTCTTTATCGGTATTGATTTTGAAGATTCTAACCTGGACTATCATGAACAGTCCGCAAAGAGAATTGCCGTACGCTTTTTATGATGTTATTTGGTGGACTTGTTGACTGGCCTGGTTCTTTATTCCCGTGGACTGCATCACTACCTGTACTGATTGGATATGCTAACAGCTGAGCTTATACACAGTCCGAACCCCGAACAAGCGATTTACCATACCTTTTACGAGTGACAATTGAAATTGGATAACGACAGCGAGAGACACCGGCTGTGTTTTCGGTTCTTTCTTTTTGTAAAATATCAAGTTAGGGATCAATCTTCTTGTTTGCGATAGTGCCTTATAATGATCGATTAGCAGCATGATCAATTGATCAGTCTATATCACGTAGTACTTATGTGGGCTATAATTTATCTACATTTAAGAAGACTATTGAAAAGACCATTGAAATTACTGAAATGACAAAGCTGCATAAGCGGCCTAATATTCTTGTTTATATATAATGAAAAGGTTATTATATACACAGATTATGCACAAGAAGTCAGAGTTTATTATCAACAGCCAGGCAGGCAAATGAATAATTATGCAATGCTCTACAGGGCAAGAGCCAGAGCCAAAACACCAGCCATACCAGCAACTCCCATGGCAATGCCCCCAGTAGGAGCAGGGGCGCCACCAGTAGACTGCGAAGAAGAGGGAGAAGATGATGTAGAGCTGGAGTCGGAGCTGGAGTCGGAGCTGGAGCTCGAGACAGAGCTCGAGTCAGAGCTGGATGCGGAGCTGGTGCTAGAGATGAAGGTGGAGTCCGAGGCAGTGGTGGAAGCCGAAGTGGTCACGGCGGCATTGGAGGTCTGGTGGGAAGGAGTGGTGGAGCCAGTCTCGATGGCGCTGCTATCAGCAGTCTCGGTCTGAGTACCGGTTGCCGATGCGGTTGCCGGGACACCAGCGAGCTGGTCGTCAAAGTTGGAAGTGGCCCAGGCCTTGACGCTGCTAGGCAACGCGTTGTACCAAGCTGGGTAGGTGCCAGCGGCAGCTTCACTGATGATCACGCTGCGGGAGGCCGGGTCAATAATTTCGTCGTACCATGAGGCCGGGATGGCTGTTGCCAGAACACTCATGATGGAGCTGGGCACATCCGCGATATCGTAGGTCTCATCGTTGTCGGCAGTCTCGGTGCCTGAGGATGTAGAAGTAGGATCCGCAGGGGCGGCCAGGGCCGTGGCGGCGAGGAAAAGAGTGGTAAGGACCTTGTACTGCATTTTCAAACGAGTGTGGGAGTATAGGAACAATATTTGCTGAATAGAAGAAAGAAAAAACAAGCTGACGGAGGGCTTAATAAATATCTTCTGAGCCAGGCGAAACCAGGCCCCTTCATCTATTAGGGCCGCGCTAGTACTAAACTAGCCAAACCTAAACCACCGACGCTAACCGAAAATGGCCACGAAAGGCTTAGTCGCGAGACTTGACCAATCACAGTGCGCAGGTCCCGTGTGGTCGCCTGATTAGACCCGATTTCGACACGAGAGTTGCCTACGTTCTTCTTCGTTATTCGCCAACGATTGGGCTAATTTCCCATATCCGCCAGCATTTGCTCTGCATTGCCCCTTTTATTGTTTCCGTGGTCCGTCTTTTCTGTTCCAAATTTAGCTCCAGGGTCGGCTTTGGCCAAATCTGGGGTAGTGAAATTTCTATATCGACAAAACTCTGTCGCCCCAAACGGCATATCGTCTACACTCGATGCACTATATATAATAAAGTTCGAGAACAGCACTCATCCACTTCATCAAAGATTCCGTTAAACTCATTCAATTCTAAGTAAGTACAGAACTTATTATATAGGACATGATGCCTTCCCTATGATTGTACATGCTAAGGTTACTACTAACTAGCTTGAGGAATGAATGTCATTAGCCTGCTACATAGTGAGAGTTCAATGTGAATTGTAGTTAGTCAATAGTATTCCCCTGTTTTTGACTGAAGCTGTACTGAACTCCTAGTAGCAGTTACTGTCACACGATGCGGGATAAATATTCTGCCTTGGATATCAGGCATCAAGGTGAGTCATCCGAGTCCGTGAATAAGCGTATCACGTACACACACCACTGTTTAGTCAACTAGTTAGCTTTCTTTTGTTGCCGTCCTTGATATATTTTCCCTCATCAGTCCTTTGTTGCTATTTCTAAGAAGTTATCAATATTCTACTGCCTATTCCAACTCATTACTCATTGCATTTGCTTGTTACTGCTGGTCAAACTGAAGAAATTTGACCCCCCCACCTTTCCAGATTGCCCTCACCATGGCCGAATGGAGCCCTAGTTGTATGAGCAAAAATCTGTAAATCTGTCTCACATTTGATCCAATATCACTGACTATGTCTAGCTTGGACACAAAAGCCCATCAAGCAAGATGTCATCTACGAGGATGCTCAAGGGTTGCAAGACTCATTGCAGAAACTACAGAAGCTTCCTCCACTTGTGACCACACAAGAAGTATGTCTTTCCTTCAGACTGGATCTTAGCTATTATACTGACCTGGTTTGCAGATCATCAATCTCAAGAAGAACCTACGAAATGTCGCTTTGGGCAAAGCATTCGTTCTACAGGGTGGTATGTCGCACAAGAAAAGGATATCCCCAAAACAAGCACTAAGCATTCTGTCTAGGTGACTGTGCCGAGCTCTTCGACTATTGCAGCCAAGAAATGATCGAAGCCAAAGTGAAGCTCTTGTTGCAAATGAGTTTGGTTCTCATCTGGGGTATGTCAGACCCCCACAAAAAGCAAAGAAAACATGGCAACTAATCCACCAATAGGCGCCAATAAGCCCGTCATCCGTATTGCCCGGATTGCAGGCCAGTTTGCAAAGTATGTTTTTCATTCATTAATCCATGACCACAAAATTAATAACAAAACTAGGCCACGCTCAAGTCCAATAGAGGTCATCAACGGAGTGGAAATGCCCTCGTTCCGCGGTGACAATATCAATGGCTTCGCAGCAGACCCTGTATCCCGCCAACCAGACCCATCGCGTCTAGTCTCAGCCTACTTCCACTCCGCGGCGACTCTGAACTATCTCCGAGCCTCCCTGTCCTCAGGCCTGGCAGACCTGCACTCCCCACTAGACTGGGGCCTGGGCCATGTAATCACGCCCTCAATCAAAGAGCAATACGCCAAAACCGTACGTGCAGTAAAGGATGCCTTGCGCTTCATGCACACGGTAGGAATCGACAAAGACCGCGGCTTCGAGACAGCCGACATCTTCACCAGCCACGAAGGCCTCTCCCTAGAATACGAGCAGAGCCTAACCCGACTCCTCCGCCACCCAGCGCGCCCAGGAAGCACCACCACGGCTCCCGAAACAGGCTATTACGCAACATCCGGCCACTTCCTCTGGATCGGCGACCGGACCCGCCAACTCGGCGGTGCGCATATCGAGTTCTTCCGCGGCATCGCCAATCCTGTCGGAATCAAGATCGGGCCCAGCATGGCGGCAGATGAGCTGGTGCAGCTGCTGGATGTCGTGAACCCGGATCGTGAAGTCGGGAAGGTGACTCTGATCTCGCGATACGGCGCTGGGAAAATCGCCACTTTCCTCCCTGGTCATATTGCCGCTGTGCAGGCCTCCGGTCATATCCCTGTCTGGCAGTGTGACCCTATGCATGGCAATACGCAGAGCACACCATCTGGTGTGAAGACCCGCCACTTCACGGATATCTTGTCTGAGTTGAAGCAGGCGTTGGAGATCCACCGCGCTGCAGGGTCGTTCCTTGGTGGTATGCATCTAGAACTTACCGGAGAGGCTGTTACCGAGTGTGTGGGTGGTGCTGGTGGGCTGACGGAGGATGGACTTGGGGAGCGGTATACGACATTCTGTGATCCACGCTTGAACGAGAAGCAGGCTTTGGAGCTGGCTTTCTTGGTTGCTGGATTCTATCGTGAAGAGTCTGAGGAGTGATATCATCTATTTGGATTGACACGAGATATCTGAATGTTGAAGCGGGACAGCGAAAATATTTCGGGCATTATCATCGAGTTTCTGAATCAAAAGTCATGTATGTTTTGCAAGTTGGCCTCGTTACGGATATGAGTAAAAAGTCTAGATTTAAATCATCTAGGATTGAATTGATTCAACTGAGATTGGAAGAAAGTAGCAACAATTGTCCTTCACAAAACAGTCCAACCTATCCGGCTCGCCGTCATGGGGCAAAATGCAAGAAACGCCCAAACAAAGAGTCCCCCGTATTTACAGTGACTGGGTATGGATCTAAAAAAGCGAATAATGTAATGAATAAAATCAAGGAACGAGAGGACTACCGACGGCAGGCTTGTAAACAAGGCTCTTGCGCCTGGCAGCCTCTATGCGGAAGCGGCGCTGTCTCCTAGATTCCTCATCTTGTCCATCATCGAGCAAGGTACTCGCAGGCTTAGCACTCGGGAAAAGTCCTCGATTGCTCTGCTTTGGCGGGCAAGATTGCTGGATAAGCTTGGAGCGGTTCCCAAGGAATCCTGGTGTAGCGGGCGACATGCCAATGGCATCAAGGTTGGCAAAGTTGTATCCCGGAGTAGCAGGGAATTGGTATTTATCAGAAGAAGATTGTCGTTGGGGTGTGGACGGCATCTCCTGTTGGTGGGTCGGAGGTGTGATCTTGCGGAAACCCTCAACGGCACCGGGATTGACACCACTGCGACGTCCGCCGGCAGATGGCGCGGGAGATTCAGAAATGCGCACGAGTGTTCCGTTCACATTGCTTAGTGCACGAGGCTCCATACTCTTGCGGCGCTTAGCGCCTCCGCGCGGGATGATAGAGCTGTCAACCGCGTACGGAGTTTCATCAAGCCATTGGTTTTCCCGTTCACAGCTAGAAATAACAATTAGAAAAGCCATGTAAAGAAAGTGTACAAAAGATAAACTTACTCGAGGACCCAGCCGACTCCAACACACTTGACAAGACCCGCTGCCTTCTTGACTTTCTCGAGAGTTCGCAGGCCACCATCCTTGTATACAACATGCGTGATGCCAACTCTCAAGTCCTTGGGCTCTACACCATCACTTGGTGAGAGACTAGAACGAGGGTTCCAAGACCAGGACTTCACACACCGAGCACCCATTTGCTGCAAAAGTTCCACAAAAATACCAGAGGCATCCTCACCCTCGGTGGTATGAACATCCACATGCACGACTGCCCCATGCAGAGCCTTCTGTTCGGTGCTGATACTACGACGTGGCTTCTTGGCAGGACTGGCGGTTGCGACAGGATTACTGAGCGGAGCCATCACTGGTGCTTTTACACTGCTGCGTCTATTGGTGATAGAACGGCGCTTTGGTGTCGGACTTCTGCTCACCCGTGGAGGTTTCCGAGAAGGAGACAGAATAGGTACACTATCGTTGAGTGCCATGAAGATTGGCTTGCGAACACGCGGAGAAGACCGAGTGGGAGATGGGCTCGCGGGGGACAGACCTCTCTTGCGGCGCAGCTTGAGAGGGGATATGTCACCTTCAGCCTTCAAAGGCACTTTTGAGACAGTATGAATGGTGCGTAATTCGTCGGGCTGGACGTGAGCCTTCATTGGGGTTGAAGGAAGAATCAGAGGACCACAGTTCTCTTTGTCATCGAGTAGATGGAAGTCTTGGTCCTGATCTTGCGGGACTTGAGTGACGCAAGTATGCTCCAGTTCAACATTTCCCGAGTCAGGATCCTCGAATATATCCGTGCGTGTGCTTGGAGAATCTCTTATTTGATGGTCCTCATAAATGGAAGATGGCCGTGGAGTCTGTTCATAATCGGGGCTTATACAAGTAGTACCGCTTTGAGGTTGAGATGGTAATTCGGCAAACAAAGAGGGCGGGTTTGCCAAAGGGCTCTTTGACAAATCAGGATACGGAACAGTACCAGAATTCGTCGGAGTTTCCTTGTTGGTGCGATCCAAGGAGCCTACTAATGAAAAGACTCCACGGCGACGCGGTCGGAGTGATCTAGCTTGGGAAGGGGTATTTTGTTCCCAGCGACCAAATTTTTGTGCCAGTGGTGTAAAACCTATGCTAGCCTCAGCAGGGGATTGATGCTGACCTGCAACGCTTGGTGTGTTGAAGAGACTGGGTGCTATTAACGCAGGACTGTCAACCTGGGTGTTCAGTGTCCAGCTATTTTCTTCATGCAAGGGCGTGTCAATTATGACGTTATTGGCATTCTTGGCATCGAGGGTGGAGCCATGGTCATTCTCTGAGTTGTCTGGGCGATTTACGGACAATGGAGTAGATTCGC